AAAGATCGATATTATATTGGGCAGCCAAATATCACGATATATCGCCAAACCGATTATTTCCCACACCTCTAGCTAACAGCAACATGACCAACATGTCATGCTAAGAATCAACATATAAAGTAAAATTAAATGTGTAAATAGAGTGAACATTTGAGGGCATTGATGCACTGATTTAGAATGAATACGTTTGTGAGATATTTAATAATGTCAATCTCACTGATTTTGGTGTGAATTAATGAAAAGACTCAGTTAATTTTGGCTTGAATCCTTTAGCAATGATAAGAAATCTAAATTTAAATAAAAAATAAAAAAAGTAGTGCTACTTACTCTGTTTTCTTTCTTTGCTTGTTATCAAATATTTGATTGAGGTTAATAGTTTTCTGGCCCAGGAATTTGTCCATCCCCACCAAGGAGCGATGCATCACTGTGAGAGACAGCAGGTAGACTTCAGGGTTCCCCTCCAACAGCAGCCCAGGTAACTCGAAGGAGGCTTCCTCTCTCCAGACGGGGTTAGCCGCCTTCTCTGCCACCGACGTGGAGTACTTCTCCTTCCCCAGCTGGATGATAGTGTAGGCATCGTTGGTGCCGTTTTTGCCTTTGGCCTGTAAACCGCTTGCTTGGAGAACAGTGGCTTGGACATGGGTTGGAAACCACTTCTGAGACTGCTCAGCCAGCGACATGTTTCTGACAGAAGACTAGTCAAAGAAAATAAATGAAATATAATTTAGACAGCTATTTTACTGAGATCGATTTGCGAGAAGCATGATTTCCTAAAGCTTCTTATCCATGTCAGTTTGGTCTACGTAACTATGGTAACAAGCAATGACGAGTCTGACAAACAGAGCACGCCTCATCTTCTATTAAATCATCGATGTCCAAGCCACTGCTGAGTCATCTGCAACAACAGAAAGAAAAAGCGGAGAATCAGGACATTTCCCAGAACCAAAGCATGACTCATGGAGGCTCACCTGGAGCATTTATATTGGATCTTATCTCAACTGGAGCCAACAGAAAGCCACAGAGCTTTGTCTGCATGACAATCAAAAACAGTAGCAGAAGTAAAGCAGACAAAGACAGATGCATCCACTGTGTTTTTTTCTATTCAAATAGTCCAACATTAACTCCAACTATCTAAATCATGCTGTAGTTGGACTAATAACATAAAATATAAAAGTACTATTATTCCTTGATAGAGGAATTAGTTTTAAATAAGACAGAAAATGAAGGGATTAAGGATTATTCCAGTTTATGCAACACACAAAGCACACAGTCTTCCTGATTCTTCTGATATTTACCCAATTCAAAACCCAAGTCTGTTTGCAAACGATGCTTTCAAGGACGATGGGAAAAAAAAGAACATAAAAAAACAGCTGCTGAATGTTTAATTATATTTCTTTTGAACAGGTTACCCATATGCACAATGCAACGTGGGGAAAACAATATGAGAACAAAGCAAATACAAATCAAAATAGGATCTTTGGCAAAATGGTGCCTATCCTATCAATTCAGAACTTCGGGGAAGAATTTGCCAGATACACCAGACTAAATGTGAGATTAAATGTTTTATTTAGTCTGGCCCTGATGAATGAGACATCGGAAGATTGTTGATGAGAACAACCCGTTGTTTTTCAAACCATGTCTGTGCCTATTGGCCAACGCTCTGACCAATGAGGGCAGCTGATTGTGATGTAGTAAGCGCGACAGAAAGCTGGTGGGGGAGCGTAAACAAACAGCCTGTCGGTAAAACGGCGAATATGTCCTGCTTAAAAATGAACGACGTTTCAACGAACACTCAAAGTCTAATCCTTCCAAAACTGATTCCAAAGCTGAGTCCAACGAGAACTGTTCAACAGTTGTTCCCGTCTTCCTTGTTGTGCTTTCTCCAGCGTTTTTGTCGCTGTCATTGTACCACAACGGGGAAATTTACTCTCTGCATTTTGACCCATCCCTTTGGGGAGCAGTGGGCTGCCATTGTGTGGCGCCCGGGGAGCAGTGTGGGGTTAAAGGTCTTTCTCAGGGACCCAGACTGGAGGCTGTGGGGATTAAACCGCGTACTTACAACCTTCTTAGAGCACAAGCACTGCTCTAACCACTAGCCCAACATTCCCCAAAGCTTTTATGGAACATTTTTGTGATGCATGAAATCATCACTATATGAATATTATATTATTGCCGTTATATTAATTCATCCTTGAGTAAAATATACTGTAAAAAGGAAGGATTTCAGAGGTCACGGTTAAATCCGGAGCCAGTCCAACATGCTCCGCCAAGGGTCAACTGACAGCCATGTGAGAGTCATTAATAACTCCAAGGTTCCAAGCAGGACAATAAGTTCATGACTAAGGAGTGTTTGGACGCACATGTGATCACCTCCCTCTGATGGAGGATATGGAAACTCCTCGTCTACTGTCTCTGTTTGTCCTTTAGGAACAGATAAAAAAAGCTAAATGTCTTTTAGGCAACGAGTTGGGGCAGTTATTAGTACTTTAACCAAGATAGAAAGGCTTCCATGCACTAATGTTCAATTTTGTTTAAAAAAAAAACAACTTTTGTTGCAGGTCAGTGATTTAGTTACAGAACAGTCATAAATCTACCGAGTAAGTAAAATAAACGAAATTATGTTTGAATTTTAGGTTAATGTCTAAAGGAACCTTAGGCCTGTTAATTTGACTCCATAGATGTACAGAATATTATATTAAGGGAAGGACATTTGGGTTATTCTTTATTCAACTTACACCTCATGGCATTAAGCAGAGGAAGAGAAACTGAACTAAAGAATCCTTCATCATTTAAATTATTTGATATTACAATGATTTTTTTCATTTGTTTCATTCTAGAGAATAACGAAAACCATATACTTGTTATGAAAAAAGAAAATTAGGTTGACTACTTAAAAATTCATGTCTTATTACGTTTTGCTGTGATTTATTTCAAGTATAACTTGTCCAACTTTGTTCTAATTTCTCATTATTAACTTTATTTCCAATTTTTCCCATGAAAGAATGGATTTAAATTAGATTTAGAGAAACAAAGCTGCTTCCATATCAGCAAACATGATCCTAATCATTGAGAGCACAATGTGTAAACAGATAGAAAAACACCAGGATAATCTTTTTAAACCAGTAAAATTTAATAAAAAGAAAATATTTTCCATTAAAATCCCATTAAATAGAACTAGTATCTCAAATCAGGGTTAAAAACTTTGAAACAAAGCAGTGAATAACGCATTTCAAACTGATTTAGCATGGTGACTGCTAGTTAGGCTGGAGCAGGTTAGCTTCTAGCTAATGAGCATCCCAGTCTCTCCCACCAACATGCTTACCTCCGTGTCATTTCCACAGACCCCACACGGACATTCAGCGGCTCAGCCCACAGAGGAGGAACCCTCACATGCATCCACGCGCTCCTCTCTGCGGCTCTGACCGCCGCAAACCGCCGCTGAACGAGCTGTTGTTGTTGTAGGAGCGGCGCATCGCTGTCCGGACAGCGACGGGCTTCACTTCCTGCTCTGACGTCATTTCCTCCACATCCCGCAGGAAAGGTCAGAGGAAAAAGTGGGAATACCACGCGCGCATTGTCAGATTTTAACACTCAGTATAAAATAATTGAAGAGTAGGGAAGAGGATGATTAGAGCGACTGAAAAAATAAAATAAATTAACTGATTTTAGA